GAGGAAGGCTCCCTAAGCTCGAGACGCTTTGAATGCTCTGTAGTTTCCTCGTAGCCTCCTTTCCATGCCTTTGTAGCTTCCACGCACTCCTGCGTCGCCGAGTTTCTTCTTGCAGCGTCCTTGTCGTGTCGCGGGGTGCGTTTGCGTCACTTCGGTGTTGCTGCGCCTTGAGACGCGTCTCTGCTGCTTCTTCGTCTCATCGGGGACTCCAGCGTCACCGAATTTGTTCCCGTATTGTGCTTGTCGTTCCAGGTCGTGCGTACGCGCGCAGAATGTTTCTCTGCAGCGTCCTCGTCGCATCAGGATCTCCAGCGTCGCAGAATGCATCCTTGTAGCGCCTCTTCTTCCAGGGCGGCGTGGTCCTGAGTCGCCGCGGACGACTCGCCGCGGACGGTTCCATTCGATTCCACGGGCGATCGTGCGCATGTAGTTTGCCACGCGCCTGCGCGCGCGGAGAGGGCCTGGGCGCCCTGTCGCCTGCGGGCGACCGCGCGGGTTAGTCCCCGCAAAAGCCAAAAAAGGCATTTCCACACGCCGGGTAAAGCCTAAAAGGGCTTTCGTCTGCCTGATCCTTGCCCCCCGCTTTCCTTCTCTTCTTTCATCGAAGTCAGAACCCCCGCCCCCTATGACGTCCTCCGCTGGCCTGGGTGGTCTACTCAGGTCGCGGAGGGGGATAGGGGGGGGCTCGTTGCCACGGCTGGTGCCTCGTTTTCACGACGGGGAGGGGGGGGTGCACCGTTCCCTCGGATGGGCACATCCCCCCCTCCAAGGGCCTCCGAGCCCTCCCTCTCCGTCCTTTTCTTCTCCCTTATCCTTCCCTCCCTCGCGGTTTTCGAAGCCTTTGGCGTCTCCGCCCACCAGAGCGGGGATCTCGACCCCCCAATGGGATTCGTGGAGCGGGGGGGGCCTTGAGAGGCCGAAACATTTTTTGGGGCGGGGCCACACAGCACACACATCACATCCATCGAGTCACGCACACATACAGCAACACGCTTTCTCGACTCCACAGGGGGGGTGCTTCGTGGAGGCATCACTTGTAACTTTGAAATTCTGTAATTATTGCCGTTCTGGTTCAAAGAACGAGCAAAAGCGAGCCTTGTCCGCATCCGCTCACCCAGTCTCACCGTGCCGTGCACGGTGCTTCTCAGCCTGTGTCACTGTGCGCTCCACGGTGATCCTCCGGGTGAGCTACCATGGCTGCTGCTGCAGAACAGCCGACGTCTCCACTGGGTTTTCTCACGAAGAGCAGCGCCAAAACCCAAGACTTCCTTGTCCGAGTATACAAGCCCAGGGAGATCAAGTACTCGTACAAGAGCAGGAACAATGGCCAGCTAGTCCATGCAAACCGATTCACATGCATTCTGCTTGGCACAGACTCAGAGCACTATTGTGAGGCCATCCTCAAAGGAACTCCAGCAGAAGTCCAAGCTGCTCTGAAAAAGTCCCCTCCGATGACGGCGTGGAAACTCTCCAGCGTCGGCCTGGACAGTCGACAGCAGGACGCTTTTGTGCATACGTCTGTTCGTGTCGTGGTCGACCTCAAGCGCACAACCTGCACTCCAGTGCTCAAAAGCTCTCCGGAGGAGACCTCCTTGGCATCGGCGCCGGCTCCAGCGACTACAGTGGCAGACATGATGAACATCAAATCGCAGCGTTGCTTCGATGTCATGGCTGTGGTTCATTCTGTTTCAGAAACCCGCACTCCCGCTGGCCACCCTCCAGTGGCAAGTGTACATCTGGTCGACGGCACACAGACGAGTAACTCCAAGACAGCGGAGGCTGTGATTGCAGTCTGGGGATCCACCAACATAGAGCTTTGTCGCTCTCACAAAGGACAACCGCTGCTGTTTCTCAACGTGGCGGGCAAATTCGACGGCAAACTGGAGCTGAACTTGTCGCAAGATCGCGTGGTGGATTCCGCATGCTCTTGTCCCAGAATGACTCAACTACACGACTTAGCAGCCACTCAAGACTTCGCGATGGACCGGGAGCAGCTGACCACCGCTCATGCGGGTACTTGGGATCCAGACCAGGCTTCGCAGATTCTCACCGGAGAAGCACTCCTCTCCTGCTGTGCCTTTTTGGCTATGGCGTCGGATGATCCGAATGCAAACTTGCCACTCTTGTTGCAGGTCAATGGGATGAGGCTTGAGGAACCGGAGCCAGCCGACTCTGTGGTGGAGAACACAGGCGAGCGCGTCTTCTTTACGACTACTGCTCGTGATTTCAGTGGCTCGTGCAAAGTCGGCGTATCCCAAGCGGCAGCCTTCGCCTTGACTGGCATTGATAGCATGCAAGAATTCAAAAAAGTTCACGACGAGAAAGCTATCTCCTTCCCTCCACTGAGCAATTGTCGCATCATACGACGCGTGCGCAATGTGGCTGCGAATGCACAGGATGACACACCTCAACGGACTTTCGTCAACACGACTGTGGTGGCCGTTTCACCGCTTCAGATATCGCACGCCCCGAATACGTCTTACAATGTCGTCTTGGAGATCCTGAAGCAGTGCCGCGAGAGCCAGGATGCAATGCTCGCGGCACAGCTCTCTGAGATACGGTCTTGTCCCTTCTACGGCATGCGCGTGCAGTACTCACCAGCGGGTGGCGGGGGTGACGCTTCTCAGCTTACCCGGAACTGCCACTTGGCAGTCGTTCTCGTTCGTACCACGCAGAAGTCTCGGTGCGTATCCACTGCGGCTGGCTTCGTCGTGTCCACACCAGGTGTCACGGACGCTTCTGACGGTGAGTCTTCCCACTCAGTGACGATTCACGGACACTGCTCAGTTGACAACTTGCTCTCGTTCAAAATGGATCCGCCCAACCGAGCGAAGCACAGAGTCTGCTTGTTGCTCATTACTGGATGTTCAAAAGATGGCATGACGGTGCACAGCGTGACCCACATTGACGACTCCGTCGTGTCTGAGGCGCAGTACTTCATTAAAAAATTGAGAACACTGGGGATGCGCACAGAGCTTCAGCAATCAGGCGAGCATAAGCGGATGAATGAGTGGAGCACGACGCCGGAATCCGCCAAGAAGTGCCGCATTCTTGAAAGCCACCCCTCAGGAGAAAGCTTGAGGTGAGCTTTCTCCTGTCTTGTCAGCGATGCTTCTC